TTCGATATAAATTGACCCTCTTCGGGTTCGCACTCATGAATCGCGTCTTTTTCTATGAGATCATTAATTTGTCTTTGTAATATCGATCTTTCTTGCTCAGATCTGTGAGCTACCCTGGGAAGAATGGGTTGTGTAACTGCGCTAATAAAAGGGATTTTATAACCCTCAACCCAGCTCAAAATTGTTGGATCAGACGTCAACCTAGCCCATTGATCCTTGAAAAGACTGAGTCTTCCAGCCTTGACACTTACGTCTACTTGCGTCTTCGACGATCCGGCTGGTTCTTCTGATATGAACTGCGATTGCGATAATAGGATCCTGTGTCCCGAGGCTTGTACGTCGATTTCTGCCCGTTCGCCGTCGCTTGAGAGGTCGCTTTGTATCGAAAGCGGCGCGGCGGGCTCTTGAAGTTTTTTGGATTTTTATTATCCCGATTTTTTGAAGGCTTTGCTGTCGGTCTGAGCTCCTGCGCAGATCGTTGAAGAACCTTTGATGCTTTTACTTTTTCATCTAGTCCCCCCCCGAACAACCAAGCATTGGCTACAGTATCCTTGAGAGTTTCTCTGGCGGTTGGACTGACGTTCTTCAGAATCAAACTTTTTCGGATCGCTGTTTCATTATGCTGAAGATCTGCGAGGAGATTAGCTGTGCTACTGAGGTGTTCGAGTAGCACTAATTTATCTAAATTATCTCCTTTTAGCATAAGATCCATCGATTTTCCCAAAGCCGCGAGAGCCGCGGTAATTTTCCCTTGCGTCTCTACAATTCGATCATCTCTCTTTGCGATGTTGACATCGATCGACGCCTTTACCTCTAGATCCAGCTTGGGTGGATCTATAAACTCGCAATTCACTGGTGGAGGATATTTCTTCAATAATTCTTTTCTTTCCTCCTCTGGGAGACCTTTTTCGATGACATCTTTCCATCTGATAGCCAAATCTTTATGAATAGCTGACGACAAAATTCGATCCTCTACGAGTCGTTTACCGATAAGACTCAGTACCTGTGGTTCTAACGCAATTTCTTGGGCATCCGCAGATTTTTCGACCTGCTTTGTTGCCTCTTGGTCGCCGCTTACACTCGCCTGGGCAGTCGGAGCAGTCGATTCAATCGGCTGATCCTTTTCTGCTGCTTGCGATTTATTTGC